GGTGGGAGGGGAGCGGAGAGCGCGGAGGGCACATAAGTCCGCCGCTGACATCGGTGCAACCCTCGCGTCTGACTCGAGTATCGACAGATATTTAAATGAATATTCCTCCGCTGTTAGGGATCCTCCGCTCTCTTTGAAATCAAAGCAGAAGGTACAACGGTTCATTTAGACGTCCGCCGATATCCAAGCGCCAGCCGGACCGGTGGATACAGGGATTTCGCTTGTCACGTCATTCGAGGGTTATCGTCGAGACGACCGCCGCGATTCCCTGGCCTGAGGCTATTGGAGAGAGGGAGAGAGAGGGAGAGAGGAGTCGCGTGTCCCTCCACGACCCCGTTTGTCCGGCACACGCACGCGGCTTGTACTTTATCCGCGTCTGTTATCAACGATCGCTCGATATCTCCTCTCATCGTCATCCACGGCTGGTTTTTCGGCCGCGCGATCAAGCTTTTCCTCGAATATCGCGTCTCTCTTTTCTCTTTCCCTCCCTCCCGAAGGATCGATGCGGAGAGATAGGTATATATATGTGTATATATATATATATATGTATAAGGAAGCGGGAGGTTTCGAGAGAGCAACGTGCCCTCCTTTCTACCTCGAGCCCGTGACCGTTGCCAATTTCGTTCCTCGGCCGAATCTGAACGCGGTGCCTTTTCCGCGTACTAATCGAGCGTACGATGACCGTGACCGATGGGCAAAATCGTTTAAATAAGCTAAGTAGCGGTTATAATTGGTCACCTCCAAGAGTATCGCGAATTTGATATTTCGCGAGCAAGACCATCATCTTCTTTCGGGTGTTGTTCACCCGAGCAACCGGCCAATAAATCTCCCCGGGCATTTCTAATTTCTCCACCGAAATGCACACACACGTAGAGCGCACACGACGACACCTGACTAATTTTCGACGAACCGACCCGTCTCTTCGAAAACCGGGCTTTTCCTTTTGCTTACGATGATCCGTGCGATGGCCAAAATCTTGGAAAAGATCGATCGAGAAACGACGATTCTATTCGCATGCAAGTAAAAATTTAACGTAACGTTTAAAAGGTAACGCGTTTACGTTTACGTAATGGGATCGTATAAAAATCGGGTGGACGCGATACCCGAAACGAAGAAGATCGAAAAGCGGAAGATCGAATGTATATAAAGACGCGGAGGGGGGAAAAAAAGCGCAACGAGTAATGGCGCAGACTAACGCAGACTAAGAAATACGTGCAAGTAAGGTGGATGCGTGTGCGTGTGCGTGCTCTCGTGCGTGCTGATGCGTTGCGTGTGGTTGGGATATTTACCGGTAAGATTATCGCCGCGTTGCTGCGGCCACCGAAAGGAAGGCCTCGGCTGCTGCTTGCTGCGCATGTCTCCCGTCCGGTGCGGCGGCTGCGGGCCGCTCGCTTTTCAAACGATCGGAGACCACTACTTACCTGAAAGAGAAAAAGTCAGAATGGTCATAAAAATAGTTCGCCTCGCGGCCACGAGACCACGCTCGATTCGATCCACGAGGATGGAAAGAACTTTTTTTTTTCCACCCTCTTTTTCTCGACCCTGCTCGTTTTCCCGACCCGATGTCGGAAAACGAATCCCCTCCCTTCGCAGCCACATCTCTTCCCCCGGCCCCCTCTCTTATCCGCCCGTTACCAGCCATCCTAACCGGCCGTATATCTTTCGTACCGTACGCCCTCGAAAGCGGCCGCCTTTGTTTCAGATATTTATGAGCCGTTTTAATTCGCGCGCCGCGCCG